GAAAGAAGGCATAGACCATCATCTTTATTCATGCTAAATGACATTTATTGTTGCTCAAGAACGAATTGGCTAAAAGAGTTTTCGTGCGTTACTGACGTAACCATTTAGTCAAAAAGCGAGTTTCACCAAGTAAGTGTTAAATTCATAAAAATGGAATGGTGCAGGAGTAATGAAAAACCATCCCACGCCAGGTAAAGAATGTTTAGTGGAGCTTCTTTGGTCCAAGTTTTGTATTTATACAGTGCAGGAAAAGCAAGTTGGTTGACATTTTGTAAATAAATTTTTCTACCACTTTTGTCCCAATAACTCTGGGACAAATACAAATATAAAAACACAAAAAAATCGAGTCCTGACCCATGAAATAACCTAAAAAGGATGAAAGAATATGGGAACCAACTTTCAGCCTTTTACGATCATTCCTGCTACACGTACCTAAGCACCTCAGGGCAGAGGGCACCTCTCTTATCCATATGCCTTATTTACGGAGTTATCTCATCCATCTATATCTACTGGTTTTTCCTATTAAGGTCATGTGGGAGAGGCTAGTTCGTTCGACTAAGAAACTGCGCCTGGGCGAGGTTGGCTGTAATACCTTCAAAATCAATAATTAAACCACTACCTAAAAGACCTCTAAACAGAGAGCTCATGGAAAAGTTCCAGTTTAGAGTTCACCCTTATCTGGGCAAGGGGGGTCCGTTGGACCCCCCCACCCCAGGGTATATTTCATTTCATTACTCTCCGCAATTTTTTCAAAACATTCTTCAAATTTGATATGGGTTACATAGACAATCATCCATAGATTCAAAAACGAATTTTTAAATTTTGGATTTGCTTTTAAGGAAAAAATTCTAAAAATGTTTTGTGTTGCCCGTTTGTGTCACAAAAATACCTTGCCCGGATAAGGGTTAAAGAAGGTAGTGTATATACAGGGAAGATAGGAATTGGAAGTTCGTAGAAGAACGATTTCACCCATGGTCCTGCATTCGCCTGGAAACGGGTGGTAAGACCAAAACGAAGCCAACCGCCACCTCTAAACATGAATGACCAGCCAAAGCTTTCATACCCTCGTAGTTTCTACTTTCCATCCCAAGAAACAACAAATGAAATAATGCCTGAACCTGCCGGATGTGCCATGGAACAGCTCAGAACTGCTTCCATCAGTCTGATCGTCCTGAGATCGAAGCCATTATTTTCAACTACCAATAAACGAGTGAATTTACTTTGAGTGTTAGTACCTGCTTCGTTTTTATTGTTTCGACTCCGAGTCGTCATATCTTTATTTTTCACACGTAACGTATTTCACAATGAAATAAGGAAATTCCTTCATTCTATTATTTTCATTGAACCCTTTCGTTTCGAAAATAGTATCGGGTGTCCGAAAAGTACTGCAATCCATGACCGTGCAAATGCTTTCCCCCTCCCCCCCTCCTTTCCAGGTGAACAATGACTGAAACGAGATATTCACTGGAAGAAAGAATCTTCTTGGTGTCTAGTTACATTTGAAGAGTTGTACTGCAATCCAACATGAATTTGAAGAAAGGTATGGAGAAAAAAGACGCAGATCAGTACTGCATGATCGATTGACTCAACAATTTGCTGAATGTTCTGCCGCAATTGTTTAAAACTGTGAAGATTATATGCATACACCGAATTTTTCAAAAAGGCCCACACGAAAAAGTCTGGTGGACTAAGATCTAGGGATCGAGGTGGCCATAATTCTGCTGAAATAAGGCGTCAAGGAAATTTTGATTCCAGGTATGCCATTGTTGCCAGAGCTGTGTGGGCTGTGGTGTTATCTTGTTCAAACCAGATAAGCTCGCGTTTGCCATCATTCAGAGTAGCAAACAATTTCTCAACCATGTTGATGTAACGTTTTGAGGTCAATGTTTCACTAAAGAATGGGATGAAAATCCATTTCCTTGACGTTGCGCCACCGTTTATTTTTCACTTTGCTAGTTTCACAAAATTTGTCGTATAGGTGCTTGATTATTGATTTAGATGGAACTATTTTTTTTCTCCGTACCATTCATCTAATTCATGTTGGATTGCAGTATAACTTTAACTTCGAATGTAACTAGTCACTAAGAAGATTCTTTCTTCAAGTGAATATCTCGTGTCTGCCATTGTTCGCATGAAAAAAAGTTATTAACACGGCCATGGGTTGCGGTATTTTTCGAACATTCGCACTGGATATCTACCACTTCCCAGGTAGCATAAAACCTAGCACTTACATTGCCTAAAAGCTGGTTGGCTTGGAAAAAGGTTGGCTGGATGTGAAGTTGGACTGGGTAACGTTGGTCCAACTTTGGTATAAAGTGGGCCTGCAATGTATGGTGCTTATGTGCTACCAAGATGGGTCAACGTTGGTAGAATGTCACCGAAGAGTGGATGCGTGAGGTTGGGTTCAGGTGATCTGTCAATTACTGTTAAACGGTGGTAGGAACCCAGGCATCCCACCCACATTGGGACAACATCGGGACTAGATTGGATTCCCACATATGCGATGTGGACTCCACGTTGATTCCCAACAACGAACCCTTGTAGGTTTGTCTTGCAGCCTCTCCTTGAATCAGCAACCCCACGTTGGGCCAACGTTGGAAACCCACATTCGACCAACATTGAACACCGAAGTGCGACATGACTTTCAGGAGCTTAGAAGAAACGGGATAAGTTTTTATATTTGTCCGTCGCTGTTGAGTTCCCCTACTGGAAACCTCGCCGTCGAATTTCTCTTGGCCCGGCTGAGAGCATAACAGCGAATACTACCTCGATTGTCTCCTCCCAAGACATTCACTTTCTACAGTATATGGGATTGGAATTCCATTTCAATCTCATGCATTATTCATCTGCCTACTTCCCTGCTCTGAAAGTGCTTGTCATGTAAGGATCTTTTGGGTGATCTCTCTCAATACCCCTGAATCTTCATCTTTCAAAAAGGAGCCAGACAGTCTCCGGGATTGAAAACTAGAGACTTGACTGATTGGAGTCGGGCCCCTGTTTGGATCATCCTCCTTTTACAATTTCGAGGACTCCCTCACGACCATTTAATCCGTTTAAACAAATGCTTTGATGAATTCGAGTGTTTTTCCCTACGTTGTCTGTGGGGAAAAGACCAGGTACCGTATGAATAGTACTGGGGAGTTACAGTAAGTGACTCTCTGTTACGACTGAAAAACCAACTCTTTTGGCGCCATCTCGTTTCATTTGAGGGAACCTCCTTAGTTGGAATAACTGAGATAGATGGTTTGCCCACAGATGAGAAAGGTTGGCTGCCGCACTAGCGCCAAAGTGGGGCCCATATGGGAGGCCCACTGCGATGTTGGCCCACGTTCACCCACTCACTGCCAACCTAGGCCCAATGTGGTATACTGCCAAGGAAGTAGGTGTGCAAAGTTGAGTGCCTGTGGCTTGCCAAGGTCGGGCCAACGTTGGTAAAATGGCAGAATGAAGGTTTACAATGAGGAGTAGCGGTAGTCTACCTATATTTAGCTAACGTTGTCAAAAATGTTTACTAAAGGCGAGACTTTTAATGTTGAGACAATTAATGGAAAGGAAACGAATTTATGGTTAAATTTGCCATGCGTGAAGAAAAACTGCATGATCCATAGTAGCCATCACTTAAGCTATATCTGTATTTTTATTTATTTCAGGAACTATTGTGTATCCAAAAATCAGTGCCAACGTCTCATGATGTATATAATACTGTATATCTTGACGAACCACGCGACGTCCCGTACAGGAGTTCCATATAAAAACTTAATAAATTATATAAATTACGGCAGTAAATGGGCTACTTATTTAAAACATGTGACACAAATACGTCCACATATGTCCACATCATATTTTGGCCATATAAAGGCCCTTAATTCCTTCCAGCCAACTTTGGCTCATAATAGGGTGTTTCAAAAAGTAACGGCAATTCCTGTCGAAGCCGTCCATGGACGGCTTCGACAGGAATTCGTCATCACCCGATGCATTCAGTGTTTCGCGCCGTGACTCGCGTTATAGCTCGGGTCGCAACTGAATGCGCCCACTGTGTTTGACCGCGATGACCCGATGCATTTTTGCTATCTGGGTCTTTAGGACAGCAAGAACTAATTCGAGGAGTTTTTGGTCGATTCTCGTATCGAAGTCGAACATCAAAGGGTGAAGGATCAGGAAATGCGAAGCGAAAGCGAACGGAAGGTTTGAACTGTTAGTGAAGGAGGCAGAGGAAGGGAGACGGGGGAGCGCCTCAGGCCCTTAGGATCTCCCCTGGAAACAGATGAAGCAGCAGGAGACAATGCATTGGGGCGAGGCTGAGCCTGAGCAGACCTTTCTCGCCTTCCCCACCCCCCCTCCCCCTCGAGCGTTCAAATAAAATGAGGACAGCGAGAATAGAAAGGGGGGCAAAAGTAGCTTCGCAGTTTGTCTTCTCCGATTCGTGTGTGAAGAATAGCATAATCTCGCAAAATGTGGTGATGAGATTCTTGCTGTTTCGGAAGCTTAGAATTTTTTTTTTACGGGTATGACCACAATTTGTGCCATAAGAAATGAGTTTCTTTTTTTTCTCAAGCTTTTCTCGAGAGAACACCACAACAGATGCTATACTTTGATTATGAAATGCTTTTGGTAAGATTATAGCTTTTTTATTAAAGAAAATACCGCGGAGGTATTTTTCGGTGCTCACACGAGTAAACAGCCTTAAGAAAGTAAGGCATATCGTGGTGGTATGCTAATGCATTGAGTTTTACATATGTGGGTGCCGACGCATAAGGAAGTGAAGAGAATAGCCAAGCGTGTCCTAAATTCCTTTTATTCTCCTTGATCTCTGCGACCTCGATATATGCATCATTTATCCTCAGACATTTTCATTACATTCCCCTCTCCTTTTCTCTTTCGATGTCGGACTAGATTGCACATGGGTTATTTCGGGTTTTCATGTCCATATTCACCCGGTTCTCAGATTTAAGAAAACATCATATTTGTATCGGGACGTCGTCGTGATGTGGGCCTTTCGATTAGTGGTAGCCAACGGGATGATCGGTGTACCATCCGAATGCTCCCTTGCTACCGGTGTAGGCTCCGTAGTCCACGTAGTCGCCTCCTCCGTAATGTCCTGCTCCCCTCTCGAATCTGAAGGAAAGTGAAAACTGCATAAGCGATTTGGCTTCGATCTGGTACATTTTCTCAGCCTTCGGATGTAAGTGCCCGACCTATCGGACGGAGCGGCTTCGTATTGGGACTGGTCCGCGTAGTACGGAGAAGCGTGGGCGTTGTAGACGGGAGCATCGGCTTGACCGCGATCAGCTGCGCGTCCGGCCCTTCTCATCAGCATCACCTGGGGGTGATGGCGGGATTCTTCCACCAAAAATTCCTCCAGGTCTTCCAAAGGGATGGCCACGTAACGGGGGCGGCCTTGCGCCCCCAGCATGGCCATCATCACCACGCACACCAAGACTCCCAACCTCTGAACGAGAGAGAGAAAGGGAGAAAATAAAGATAATGCATCAAATTGTTAAATATTGGCTCCTGGCATAGGAGTACTCGTCTGAAACGTAATACTCCTTTTATAGCTGTCGAGGAGAGGAAAGATATTGATTGGGGGTCAACATGCAGGGTGGATCGAACAAAAAAAAAACGAACAGGGACTTTCCGTATATTATTACATCCTCCACGACAGAGTAAACCCAGAGTAACGTGAGCCATTTTACCATTTTGATGCGAGGTCTTTCCTACACTTGGTCTGCATTTCAGACCGTATGCACAAAAATTTTGCTGTGCTCTTCGAATGAAACGCTGCTACAGAAATAGTCATTTCCCAGAGATCATCGAGGATGCGAGGCTTCAAAAGGGTGTGGCTGCTCCAGAAGTTTTCAATCAACTTAAAGACTTCGATTCGGAACGATTAGATTACTCATGAAGTTCTTGAAAGAGACAGAGAGTATTTAGTATGTGAGGAAAGAGTGATCGCATGGTCGAGCAGCTGGGGAGATGAAGACCAATTTAGTCATGCGATGCTGCTTCTTCGCTTCCACGAAGAAACTCGCAAAGAAGGGAAATTTTTAGCCAAATGATCGCGATGAATGTATGAGAGAATAAAAAGCAGCGTTATGCAGGAATTTCTCATTCCTGAGAAACAGATACAGAAGCCAATATACTTGGATATGGAAGCACTTGAATTAAATATTCCAAGTTGCGAGTTTCCAAGTTTGCAATCCAAAGATATCTGAGGAGTTCTAATAGTCGGTGCTTGAATTTATTTCCGATCAACCCCATACATACCGAAGTGTGACAATAATCGTACGTGTCTCTGGGGCGGGACGACGTGTGTTCTGATCCGTTTGAGCGAGACCGGTTCCACTGAATTCGATGGACTCATTTTCTCTGCTCTTAGAGACAGTTTCGTCCATTCGTGCAGAAGCCAATCGAGATGACATAGAAAAGGAATGAGAGCAACGAACCGCAGTCGTGGCTCGACTGACAGATCGAAACCCCTTGGTGCGGTTGACGGCTACCCGTTTCGACTCGGTCGAACGGCGAAAGAATCCTAGAACTGGTGCTTACTGCGGTTGAGCCGCGATCTTCCCTTCCCGAGACGGACGTCATATCAGTTTTCCTTGGAACTTTGCGACTGCTTCCCGTTTCGGTGCGACTAACACCAGACCCTCCCAAAATTAAAATCGTGCTCGGAAGTTTCAATATCCACGTTCCAGCGTTTTCCAGTCAGAGATCTAGTTCTCTGCAAATACGGCTAAGCCAAAAGCGAGGAATGACTTTAGTTGAACTAAGTAAAGCGATACCCAGATCAGCCCGAGAGCAAATGTTTCCTGTTTTCTTTGAGAAAAGAGGGTTAAACTCCATTTTTCACCAACTCTCGATGGGCACGTTTGCCTTAGATTTACGTCACGGTGAGAAATAAGCAACTGATTTTAGCAATTGACCTATTGTGGGGGAGGCAGGGCTGGGGAGTCACCACCTCAGTATCACAGAATATTGGGTCAATTTGGCCCGACATCGAGCTAATATTGCAGTATTGGTCTAACGTTGGGCCAATATTGATACTGTGCTACAGAACAGCGACTGATAAAATGTGCTCATCGCTAACTTCACTCAATACCATAGATACCTCAATACCTTCACTAGATACCCACTTTTGCCGTCTATAAACTGAATTGAAATCTGAATCTTTACTTTCTGACCCACGTTTCTGTCTGATCGGAAAAATACTTCTCTCTACGGATTCCAAAAGGGAGATGGAAAGCCTTTGCTATCGAAGGCCCAATAGTACAGAACTGTACAGTACCGTACGGTACCGCATGAAAAGAGGGAGATGACGAAGAAACACTCACGAGTCCGTTCATGTCGAATTTTTTTTCGGTCGTTCCCCGTGCGGAGTCACGATGATTCACGGTCACAGTCGCGTTGGAATTGCTGGAGAAAAAGAGCCGTACCCCGTTTATATACGACCCCAGCTGACCACTGTAAAAACTGGGACGCAAGGATGGATCCTCCTCCGGCTCCCCTCCGCTCGCTCACTTTTCCTTCCCTGACAGGCCTCATTGAACTCCCTTTCTCTTCTGTCCCTCTCTATTGACACGCTCCGTGAGCACGACTCGAAAACAATTATACCCCGCTCTCATCCAGCATCATCGTTCCTGACGGCATCACCTTGTGATGCCATGAGAATTCTCGTCGGAATCAATCACACTAACGATTACGAAGTTGCTCCGGATAGCTTCTAGCCCCTTCAAAAGAGTAATTTTATTTATTAGAAGCGGTCAATGCCTGGGGAGAAAGAAATGTTCGCTTTCCTCACAGAAACGAAATCCTAACCAGCACATTCACTATATTCTATCGTATTCAATGTAATAGAATATTCTTAATAAGATCACTTTCTTCGCGCAACGTGAGTAACGGATTATATTTGTCAGAAGATTAATAATTGCCCGGAATAAAACCTTTATTTGATAGAATACGCTCTCGGTTAAGCCTCGATGTTAATTCTCCTTTTAGTGCACGTCGGAGTTCTGCTTTTGATAGAAAATGAAAGAAATAACAATCTTTCATTTGCCGATGTATCATCGAGGGAAAGATCCTCGAGCCCATAAGTTGTTGGGTTCGCGTATCCTGCATAGCCTGGCACGATTTTTTTCGAAAGGATTTTGGACGACTTTCGGCTTTGAAATACCCGAGCCTGACTTTTACCGCGTTCAGGGGCGTTCTTATCCCGACTTTAGATCCAAGATGGTACGTGAGCCTGATGAGATGTCCTGAAAACACACTCGGAACGTTGCCAAAACCTGCTTGCATCCTAAGTAGGAATATTATATGTAGGGTGGTATCACTGCTTTTATCAATTTGTTCTCGCCAGAAGCCTTGTGCGTTGGCGCTGGTTGTCAAATGCAATTAGCTTTGATGCATAGCCGATGCAACGACGGTCAAATACTTGGATTATCGATTTCTTCAAATGAGAAAAACTTACCGTCGATTGCCACGTTCAATATTCGTCGCATTTAACGAATAAGAAATGCGAAACTTATTACAATCAACATGACATTATTTGGAACCAATAGTATTATAATATGAATGCAATAATTACTATTTATTACAGTCAAACAATATTACTATTGCAATAATATTGCAGTTCCATTACATTTCAGTTACGATAAAATCCCTGAGTACTACTCAGGCAGGTTATCGTAGCGCTACGTAACGTACATACTATTGTATGTGATTGCTTTCAATAGCACTCAGGCATGTTCTTTTATTGTAACTGCAATGTCATTGTAAAAGTAATACTGTATAATTGCAATCAATAGTAACTATTTCATTCATATTACAGTACGATTGGTTCCAAATGATTTCGCTTTGATTGCAATAACCTTTTGTTATGGATTGCAAAGTTTGCTTTTTGTACGTTGCAGTTTTCCTGCAAATGCGTCTCAAGTTGATGGTTAGGGTTTTTTGGGCCACGTCGTACATAGATGAAGGTTTGGCCCATGCATTGTCCAAAGGTATCATGCATAGGAAATGGAGAATGAATGACTGAACCCCAAGCCTGGTCACGACGTGATGACAGCAGAAGACCCAGATGGAGGCACGACGCGGTTCGCATCCGCCTCATGACTGGTCATAACCATTGTACAATTTGCGGGAATGAGGACCTGGATGGCAATGGTTCTCCCATCCCTTTGGGCAGAAAAATATATACGAGTATACTGCCAATCTGAGAAGGACGTGCCCCCGATGACGTTGTCAGAAAGAATTTGGCGCATTCGAGATGAGGAAGCTGGAGATGGAAAACTCTGCACGGGCTATGGGGAAAATCTCTCTACATTTGTTCCTTCTGTTAAGAAAAGGAGAATGGCGTCAAAATTATCTTTTTTTTTGCGCACGGGATACGCAGATGCACGACTGAAGTGCATTAGGCACGAGGAAAGCAGAAAGTCAGAAAGTAATAGAGAAGAAGAGTGCACGTGTCACCTCAAGATGCTCTTCAAAAAGGACCTCTACTGTACAGAGAAAAATTACACGTTTTAATGTGTCATTTGGCACTCTTATAAGTGTCCCGAAAGCGGCCTCAAAAAACGTATTATGAGAGTGTCGAATGATACATTCTGTAGCTAGAATTTTTTCACGTGTCAGTTGACATATTACCATCTGCTAAAACACGTTCGTGTGCCATCCGACACCCTTCAGCCTGTGTCACCTGCAGTAAGATGTGCCAAATGACATACTTAAGTGTGTCAGGACTCAAGACACAGTATTTCGTCTCACCCAGGCGATGGTAAGACACTTTTTTGTGTCATTTGACACAAAGTTTTCAATGTTGAACCAGTTTCCACGGTTTATTGCAGACTTATTTCCACGTAGAGATGGCGTCAACGCAGAGAGAAATTAGTTCCATCGTGCAGCTATGCGAAGAAGGCTCAATGAATGACAAGGAATATAAAATGCTATCAAATAGAAATAAGGTTGGTTACGGCCAAAAGAACCAGGCCTCGGAAACTTACGTGAAGAGATGACGAAGATGAATCCAGTCAGTGTCGCAAGGAGATGCCTGTGCCCAGGCGAGGGGAAGATGCCTACGATGCCTTCGATGCCTGCGATGCCTGTGCCCAGCCGATCCAATATTCAACATCCTTTTCTACGCTTTCCAAGGCAGTGCCTGGGGATGCTACGTGGCAAAAATAATACTCAACATTTTAGAAATGACTCCTATTAATATTGCTCTTGAATGAAGAGTAACTCCGCTAAAATTCGAAATAGACATACATCCGCAGCCATATGTTCCTTCAGACGAAATACCTTTCAGTGGGATTTTGAGACAGAGAAAAGACGCGAGAGGTATGGTCGTGAATCAAAAATGTGTTCTTTGAAAATTTCAACAAACAAATATCTGGAGAATCGACTGCTCTTATGTATTGATTCGATTGACTAGATGCTGAATGTAGAGCTTAACTTGGCGTTTTGCCTAATTATATTAATATTCGTGGGAAAGGATACATGAAATGCTCGTCGCTATTAATAGTCGTCTGCCTCAGTCCGCTACCGGTTGCGGTATCGAAGCTCAAATCCCAGACGGTAACCTACTTCCATGGAAAAATTGTTGGAATAGTCAGACGCATGACATAATTCGAGAAGCGATGAGTCGTCTCCGGGAGACGTGCAAGCTGTCGTACGTATCATACCCATTTTCCTTTTGT